ACAATTGATAAATTAGAACAAAGCTTACAAGACGATTTTTTTGAATACTTTGACTTCAAATGGGATTCCACTGCGTGAATTGTAGTTTAAGATAAACTATCATGTGATGTTATTGTGGCACATCAATCCTTCAGAAGGGTTATGGAATGGGACACATCTTACCTGTAGAAAATTTGATAAGAATGTAATTTTTGTTGAAATAACAGCTGGTGAATATTGTGAAAAACATGTTTTCTTACCAAGAATTCCTTTTATACCTCTAAAAATTGATCAAACTTCAATTCATTTTAAAAGAACTCAAATTTCCGATTAGGTCATGCTTTGCAATGCCAATAAATAAAGCACAAGGTCAAAAGAAGGAATTATTCCATTAATCCTTTCTACTAATAGTGGAATCAATGGTGCAATACCATAGGTTTATTTTTTTACTTTACCTCATTCCACTTGATTTCGTTGGTTTGTATCTTCCTGAACCAACTTTTTGTCATGATCAGCTTTATGTTACATTGTCAAGAGCTAAAACAAGCAAATGTTTAAACGTTTTACTACAGCCATTAAGCACTAAACATTTACATTGTATATGTACTAAGAACTTTGTCTACAGAGAAGTTCTATCGTTCGTACATTTGTAGAACTATAACTTCTTTGTAATTATTCTTTAAATGTTTTAGTCACCCATTGTTATAATTAGATTGCTGATTTTTTTATTCTATATCTGTTGCTCATTTCTTTTTTCTATAATTAATTTAGCTTTGGAACATTTGAAGCTTTATAATATTTGTGTATATTTTATACACTTACCTTGATTTGACAATATGGTGCTCTAAAATTTTTGTGAGTACTGATTATTATGTTGCGTACATCAATTTTGAGTTATTGTTTCGTGCTATAATTTATAGAAGACTATGAAACATTTCGAAGTTTCATGAGCATTCTTTATTTTAAACCATAAGTTCACTAGAATTTCTTTTTGTCCTATAGAAATGCAATATAAAGTTTACTACATTCATTATTCAGTTTTATTAAAGTAGCCCTTTCCTTTTCTTTTTCCTTTTCCCTTTTCCCTTCCATCAAAGAATACTCATCTGGCCTTTTAAAATCTATTAAAATAATTACAGAAAACTATGTTATAGAGTGTCATTACATCTTGCCGCAGTTAATTCATTAGTTTTCCTTTGATATATTTGGGAATGCTAAATACCTAGAAAATAGTATAATAGTGAGATAAAATATTTTAATAGTTATAATAGTTATACTGTATTAATTCCCTAATGCTCAAATTATATCTTATTATCTACCAATGTATTTTTTTTTTTTTCTCTTCACCGTTCATGTTTTTCCTTTTCCCTGAAGTGTCCTAAAATGTTCTGTATGCTAATTTCAATGATTCATATATTTGCAGGGACACAAAAGTAAAGAACACTATTGGAGCTCTTAATTTTGCTCAAGAAAACCAAGCAATAAAGAGGCAAAAGCATGGAGGAGGAAGTGAATATTATAATGTTAAATTTTTTTCCCACTGTAAGTAGCTTTGTTTTTTTTTTTTTTTTTTTTTTAAATTT